TTATATAATATTACTCAATATAAAGACAAGGTAAAATTGATTTGATAAAGATCTAAGGCAAATCTTGAGTATTATTATTATTTTTTTCTTTAGAGTAATTGAATTTAAGAAATATTAGTTTTATTGTATATTAGAAGTTTTATTTAATGAACTTATTAGAGTACAATTTATTTATTTATTATTTTTTTTGTAGAGTATTTCTTTTCTACTCTTTTGCAAGAGGAGTTTGACCTATATTTATAAAAGATTATAGCAAAAATAAAAATAAGTATTTAAATGCTTCTAATTCTATTCTTCTTTTAGTTAAAAGCTGTTTTACCTATTTTGACTAACACTTCTTCCATATACAATTCAGTCTTTATTTTATTAATATTTTTTATTGAGTATTATATTTTAATAATACAATTAATAACTAATATTTGATAGTGCACTTACATAGCTATATACTTTACTTAACAGAGTAATATTATCTTGATAGCTGTCAAACCAAATTAGGTAGCTTTTCTCTATAAGATCATTGTTGCTGACCTAGTTAAAAAGTTTAAATTCAATAGGTTTGTTGCAGAGTAACCAGTATTTAATTCTTTTTAGTTATGGTACTACTGTATAATACATATTCAAATAATATTTACAGTATTTTTTACATTGGTTTTGCATAGGCCTAAAGTCAAGTTTGTCTCTAACGATATATAAATTACAAAAAAAAATTAAAAAATATATATAAAATAAAAAAGATTTTATTATTTATTACTATAGCAATATATCGTCACTTCCTAATTAACCAATTAAAATGCAGAATCAGGTGTAATATAAAATCAAAGCAATTATGAATTTTTTTCAAAAATTGGATATAGCATGAAATTTTGCCTATAAAACTATCTCTTAAATTTTAACAAAAAAAATTTATTTCAAAATTTTGGGTTAGAATCTTTTTGCTAAAGCACTTTACTCTAACTCTAAACTAACTCTTACTCTAACTCTAAACAAATAAATTAATTTTATTATTTAATTTTATAATATTAGATCTTATAAGATGCAATATATCACATATATAAAAAAATTAAAAATTTTAATAAAAAATATAAAAAAAATTAATAATTAAAAATATAAGTTATTAAATAAAAATAAAATTAAAAATAAAATAAATAAAAATAAATTTAAAAAAAACTCAAACTAAATACAAATAAATTTAATTTAGATTTATTTAAGACTAACTGGGTATAAATAAACCTATTCAAGTTAGTTTAAATATATAATAAGTATAAGTAAACCTAAATTGGGTTTCTTTAAACCCAAATTAGATTTATTTAAACCCAAATTAGATTAATTTGAACTCAATTTAGGTTTATTTAAACCAAATCAAATTAATTTAAACCTAAATTAAGTTTATTTAAACCCAAATCAGATTAATTTAAACCCAAATTAGGTTTATTTAAACACAAATTAGATCAATTTAAATCTAATTTAAACCCAAATTAAATCAATTTAAATTTATATCAAGTTAATTTAAACACTATTAGGCCAATTTAAACCTATATTAGATCAATTTAAACCCAAGCTAAGTTAATTTTTACCCAAATCAGGTTAATTTAAACTCAAGTTGAGTCAATTTAAATCCAAGTCTGGTTTATTTAAACCCAAGTCAGGTTTATTTGAACCTATATCAAGTTTATTTAAGCCTATATCAGGTTTATTTAAACCCAAATCAGGTTTATTTGAAACTATATCAAATTTATTTGAACCTAGATTAGATTTATTTGAACTCAAAGTTGGGTTTATTTAAACCTAAGACACAAAAAAAAATTAAAATCTCAAACCTAAGCAATATAGGTTCTAAAAGCTAGTTCTAATCTATTATTCTTAATGTTTTCAATATACAGAATACTACTTTTATTTCTTTTTTTAAATTTAAACTTATTAATATCCCAATCACTATTCAAGATTATGAGAGTATTAATTAATAATACCCTAACTATATGTGAATTAGCAGGACTTTTAGCCCTGCTAATACCTAACAGATCAAGATATTATTATTACTAATTTTTTACATTGTTTCAATATGTTTGATATTAGAGCACATTCTAATAACACATATCCTACTTGGTTCAATAGAATACAATCTAGCTGAATTGATTATATTTAAACAACTAGGCTGGGCATAGTCTATTTTTTCTGCAGCATATGATATAGATCTGTGATAATTTATAATTTTGTCACTTTTTTGTAAACTACTTTTAAAACTTTAAGTAAAGGTATCTTGATAACTACTAAGCCAGATTCAATGAACTTTTTTTTTATTTGATTCTACAGATTTATAGATTTCAAAAAAAAAATCTCATCAAATTTGACTTGGTGGTTATTGAGTTAACTTCGCTCAAAGTCATAAAAAATCTCAAAACATCAATCTAAATAGAAGCTGTGCTAAAATTTTTTCAAACTTTGATAGAAGTTTTCTCAATAACCACCAAGTCAATTTTGGTAAACTCTTTTTTATTTAATTCTACAGTTATATAAAATTTAAATAAAAAAGAGTTTACCCAATTCAGCTTGGTGGTTATCGAGAAAACTTCTCTTAAAGTTTGAAAGAATTTTGGCACAGCTTCTATTTAGATTGATGTTTTGAGATTTTTTATAACTTTGAGTGAAGGTATCTTGATAACCACTAAGCCAAATTTGAAGAGATTTTTTTTTTGAATTCTATAAATTTGTAGAATGAATAAAAAAAGTTCATAAAATCTGGCTTGGTGGTTATCGAAGTACCTTTATTTAAAGTTATAAAAAATCTCAAAATGTTAATCTAAATAGTAGCTATGCCAAAATTCTTTCAAACTTTGAGAGAAGTTTTCTCGATAACTACCAAGTAAAACTTAGCAAACTCTTTTTATTTAAATTCTATAGCTTTGTAAAATTTAAATAAAAAAGAGTTTATCAAATTTAGCTTGGTGATTATTAGAAAACTTCTATCAAGTTTGAAAAAATTTTAATACAACTTCTGTTTAAATTGACATTTTGAGATTTTTATAACTTTGAGCGAAGGTATCTCGATAACTGCCAAGCCAGATTTTATAAATCTTTTTTATTTGAATTCTACAGATTCATAAAATTCAAAAAAAAAAATCTCTTCAAATTTGGCTTGGTGGTTATTAAAATACCTTCATTCAAGTTTAAAAAAAATTTAGTAAAACTTATTTTGGTAAATGTTTTGAGTTTTTAAGACTTTGAGCAAAGGTATCTTGATAACTACTAAGCTAAATTTGTTGAACTTTTTTTATTTGAATTCTACAAATTTGTAGGATTTGAATAAAAAAATTTTTTGCTGAATTTGGCTTGGTGGTTGTTGTTCAAAGTTAAAAAAAAAATTTAGCATAGCCTCTATTTTGATAGATATTTTAGGCTTTTTAAGTTTTTAAGCAAAGGTATTTCAACAGCCACCAAGTCAAATTCGATAGATTTTTTTTTATTCAAATCTTATGAATCTGTAGAATTTAAACAAAGTTTATCAAATCTGGCTTGGTAATTATTAAGATACTTCATTTAAGTTTGAAAAAAATTTTGGTACAACTTATACTTTGATGATATTTTGAGTTTTTAAAACTTTAAGTAAAGGTAACTAATAACCACTAAGCCAAAGTTAATGAACTTATACTTTGATAGATATTTTGAAGTTTTAAGACTTTGAGCAAAGATAATTAATAAATATCAAGCCAAAGTTGATGAACTTATACTTTGATAGACATTTTGAGTTTTTAAGGCTTTGAATGAAGGTAACTAATAATCACTAAGCCAAAGTTAATGAACTTATACTTTGATAAATGTTTTAAGTTTTTAAGACTTTGAGCAAAGGTAACTGATAACCATCAAGCCAAAGTTGATAAATTTATACTTTAATAGACATTTTAAGTTTTTAAAACTTTAAGCAAAGGTAACTGATAACTACCAAGCCAAAGTTGATGAACTTATACTTTGATAGATGTTTTGAGTTTTTAAAACTTTGAGTAAAGGTAATTGATAACCACCAAGCCAAAGTTGATGAACTTATACTTTGATAGATATTTTGAGTTTTTTTTTTTTAAGACTTTGAGCAAAGGTAATTGATAACCACCAAGCCAAAGTTGATGAACTATTTTTTTATTTGAATTCATAAAATTTAGATTAAAAAAAAGTTTCTAAATTTGGCTTGGTGGTTATCAAGATACTTTTGCTCAAACCTTAAAAAAATTTGACTAATTTACTATATCAATTCTGAAATTTCTTTCTTGAAAGCCTTGTTTTATACATGTTTAATTAAAAGCTTTTTCAAGTATCTCAATCAATAGAGCAAAATTTATCAAAAATATGTTAGAAATTAATTTTAATTAACAGAAGGTATTTTTAGTTATTAAGCAAAACAAGCCACAGAATGCCTGATTTATTAAAGAAAAATTTAACAAATTATTTTTTATTTTTTATTTTTTACACTAGCTTATCAAAACTTTTTTAATATAAATATTATTCAAATATTTGCATTTATTATTAGCATACTACATATCTAATATATATTTTTCAATACTATAATCTGAGAATAACTAAAAAATTACTTGTACTCTATTTCAAATATGATCTAGGCTAATGTTTAACATATTAATTTGTATCTCAAAGTATATATAAATAATGGTTAATAGCTAAATGTCCAATTTTGATTATTTTAAAAAAGAATATTTGTTAATACATATGCATTTAGAGTTTCTATATAAGTATATAAAACTTACATATTTAATAGCCAAAAGTAATAGATCTAAACTTACTAAAGAAGCTACCAAATACTTATTGCTCTATTTAACTTAATCTTGATATTCTAAAATAGAAAATTCTAATCAATGTAATATATATGCATGTTTCCAAATAAAACTAGTAAACTTAGTACGTATATATTTTATGGCCAAAATAATTATCTGTTAAAAATTTGATAAAAAAGAAAAAAGGCCAAATCCATTTGTGAAATATTATAGAGAAAAATAAAAATGTATTTAAACAGTACTTTTTTATCTCAAATATTTATTAGAATTCAATTTTTTAATAAATTATTTAAACAAATATCTTTCGTGATCTAAATATTATTTTTGTTATAATAGTTAAATATAACTCTTGCAATAATAACCTTCAATTAGAAGTTTTCTTTTGTAAAGGAAAAATTTATAAAACTTGCACTGTATGTTTTATTTCTAGAGAAGAAAAAAGAATTGCAAAAAAAAATATAAATAATAACACTATCATGACTACTACTATAGAATCGATTGCACTACAAACTCTTAGTAACTATATAGCTGAATTAATTTCTAATGCTAAAAATAATAATGAAATTTCAGTTGAGATATATTTGGATCTTAATAATAATATTTTTTCAATATTAACATTTGATGATCTTAAATCGATAATAAGAATAATTATTAACAAAATTGAAAAAGATGATGATTATGCCTAGACTACTACAACATCACCTAATATATCAACTTAATTTGTAAATATTGTTACATATTATTTTGCATGCTCTCAATATCACGAATTGAAGTGAGAATATAAAGAATTAAACCAAAAAAGAATTACAAGATTTGCTATTATAGCAAACTAATTATTTATGTTGATATTCCTGCAATAGAAGCAACAATTAAACTTTATCATGATATTCTTCATAAAGAACTAGAAGATAACACTGTACTAGAAGAAGTTAAACAAGCAATTCAAGCAAACCTTCATTTGGACCCTGTACAAATTTAAGTAATTCTTCATAATAGATTTGATATTCTAAATATTACTACAAAACAAATTCATTATTGGTAGTCAGTATTTATACAAAATTTATATAAAACTCAGTTCTCTTATGCCATGCACTTACACGTTTTTCCCTACCCCACACCATTATCAACACAATTACTGACATATTTACAGACCGTCAAAATGATGTTATTACTAATCTCGGAATTACACTGCCATACTCCGTACAGGATGGTATCGACCAAGG